ATGAATTTTCAAAAGGTACTTCAGATAATGTCTCTGAAGTCATAAAGATTTGTCTGAAAGCTCTATTTCTTGCCCCGCCAGGCTTCTTTTTAGTGATGTTGCCACGTCCCTGGATCTTAGGAAGTAACTCAACCATCATTACACTCAACAACACAAGCAACCATTTTTACTATATATCTTATATTCGTCTATGTAGCACTCTGCTTCTTTTTGTTGGTTATATGTTGCTGAACTGCTCAAATTGTTGATAGACATTCAGCAGTCAACAATACTAAAGTTATGGCCCATGTTTTCAACGGTTGTCTTCTTAGCATCACCCAAGGTGTTACACACAGCAATGATTTATAAACTACCAAACTACCTGAGATAATGGCTCTGCTTTAAATACATTTAATGGAGAAAGTGGCTGAGAAAAGTTTTATTTTAAGTGTGATTGGCAATAGATAATTGAGATAGATAAGATAGAAATTTAAGAAGTTTTTACCAAGTTGCGGGCAATAACAGTTCAGTGGGTTAAACTGTTTACATGTCTGATCAGCTGCCGGCTGATGTGGAAACTTGCCTTTTCTGCTCATAATTAGCTTGCACTGTAACTGTTTCCTAGTACTGAAAGTTTGGTTCAGCTGTTTTCGCCCCTTCTTAACCGTGACAAAATATGCAAGACTCTGAGGTTTATTATATATATATTGAACAGTGAACAGTCAGTCCATGTCCACATATCCCAGTGTCAAACACTATGTACCCACACCTCCCTCACTCCCTGTTGCATTTTTTTAAATTGCAATTACAGAGGGCTCAAGTGGAATTTCAGGCTGCAGTTACCCTTTAACAAGCTTATCTCTGTCAGTCATTTTCTTCTCTTTTTTTTTGTAGTTATAGCAGAAAATGCTCAATTTCTTCATGTTTCCCCTAACAGTCACACTCCATTGGCTCCAGCGTAGAGATACAGATGCTGTTGGAGACCTCAGGCTGATAAATGCAAAGAGGAGGGGGACAAAAACAACAGCAATGCAGTCAGATCATGTCATGGTGTGGAACATTATCCATACATAACTGAAAGGAGTGTTCCCTTTAGTGTATAATATTCTGTAGTTTTGTTGTTCCTCTATAGTGATTAGGGTCACATCTGAATAGCCAGCATCAGGTAGTTAGCAGGGTTCTTTGTACTGGTTCTGCCTTCAATTGAAGTGTTAGAATTTGAATTTCTGTGACTCACTGAATTGTGAAAATATTTCGGAGAAGCTCAAGGATGCATATTGGTCAACCCCGACACTGAAGACCTTTCTTTTGATTACTAACAAAACTTGAAGTGGATAGCAGCTGTACTTACCTTTGATTTACAAATGTAATTTATCATTTATGACCAATGTAAATAATTTTGCTGACAACAAAATTAAGCAAAGAATTGGTGATATTAAGTTTTTGAAACATACTCAATGCACAATGGACAGTAAAAAAAGAGGAAAAAGAGTCATTTGAGCAGTTTCTGGTATGGCTATGGTGAGACGCAGTGGCGGCTGGTGAAAAAAATTTAAGGGGAGGCTGTGCAATATCCAGTCAGTTTCAGTAACCGTCCCAATACAAATTAACACAAACTGCAGGATACCAGTGCTTTGTGAAATATTCAGAAATTATTTAATGCCAATATTATATTATTATATTAATATGCAAAAACAATAACAGTGAACATAAACATAGAAGGGTAGGGTGTAGGGGGGGTTATCCAGCCTGTGAGGTCCCTCAGATCCTATGCATGACTATGTCTGTCTCAACAGGTTTGTTCCTAGACATGACGATGAGTTGGAGATGGAGGTGGACGATCCGTTGCTGGTGGAGGTCCAGTCAGAGGATTACTGGTACGAAGGCTACAACATGAGAACTGGTGCTCGTGGGATCTTCCCAGCTTACTACGCTATAGAGGTGACAAAGGACCCCGAGAGCTACAAAGGTACTGACACTGCCATGATTTTTAATTATAGAAGGCTGACTGTGGATGTGTTAGTAAAGAATAAATGTTTAAATAAATGTTATGCTTTTTTTATTTGTGCTGTTTAGTTTAAAATTGTAGAAATGTGTCATGGTTATTAGCTTCTACAGGTAAACATAAGAATTTCCACAGCAGTGATAATACTTCTCCATTCCTGTACTATAGAGAGCTAAAGTGCTGCTCCATTTAAGCTAGCATATGCTTCTCTAGCCTCTGCCAAACAATATATAGTATCTTCCCAGCAGGTTACTTTCATTGGTCTTTCTAAAAAGCTGAAACAAGATAAATGAAGTTTTCCGTCCATATTCTGAGAGTGGGCTATATAGATAAACTGATGTAACCTGACTGTCTACAACTGTAGCCTACTGACTAGTAAAATTCAAACACCTAATTTCAACAAAGATAAAACCATTGTTGGAATTAAATGTTTAATATATATGTATATATGTAATATAAGTATGTATATAACTGTAAGTATGTATATTAATTTGGACAGAAAACTCCAGTATCATGTTTCAGTGTTTTAAAAAAATGGTTTTGGGAAAGCTAGTGGAACATAACCATCCAGTGAAGGTTAAAGTCAAGGGCAACTGGACTTGGTTGAAGATACCACAAAGCGGAAAACCAACAAGCGCCCAAGCCGGAGAGAAGGAACAGAACCACCTGAAGGGGGTACTTACAGCCTATATGGACCTTTCTGAAAACAGCCACAAGATCGCAACAACATTGTGATTCTGTCTGGATTCATGTCTGGAGTATCAGAGAAACTCAGAAGGATTTTCAACAAACACAACATCCCTGTTTTTTTTAAACCCAAGAACCCACTAAGACAGATGCTGGTACACCCCAAAGACCGCACACTCAAACACAAGAAAAGCAATTTAGTGTATGCGGTCCAATGCAGTGAGGAATGCACAGACCTGTATTTTGGGGAGACTAAACAACCACTACACAAACGCATGGCTCAACACAGAAGGGCCAACTCCTCAGGTCAAGACTCTGCTGTCTACTTACATCTGAAGGACAGAGGACACTCGTTTGAGGACCACCAGGTGCACATTTTAGACAGAGAAGATGGATGGTTTGAAAGAGGTGTCAAGGAAGCATCTACACCAGGGTTGAGAAGCCGTCATTGAACAGAGGAGGGGGTCTACGCCACCACTTATCCCCCACTTACAATGCGGTCCTTCCATCACTTCCCAGGAAACTCAACAAACGTAACCTATTGGCCTCAGGTGAAGATGCCAACGATGGTCGTTCAGTCTTGGCCTGGGTAGCCCTAACGACTGTAACGACTGTCGTTACAGCAACAAGGAACACTAACAAACCAGCAGTATCAACGATCCTGGCAAACGACCCCACTGAGGTTAAATAGCTGAGTTTCCCTGCCAGTCAGTCAGAACTGAAGAAGTCCTTTGGATGAGGGACGAAATGTCTTCCAGTATCTTCAACCAAGTCCAGTTGCCCTTGACTTTAACCTTCGTTGGATAACTATGACCTGGGTGACTGAGAATCTTCAAAGACATCTAGTGGAACATAAGTTCATCTGTATTCACTGGTTCAGTTCTCTTAACTGCTTGAGTTACAGTGGTATGTAATTGTCAAACTATAAAGACTGAACTCAAGTAAGCTGATGTCTAAATACTGAAATAATAAACATGTTATGCCATTTATTTTCCTTTCATGGTTTTTTAAAGCCTTTACACATAAATTGAGTGATGCTTCTTTGAGTCATGTGATGCCAGTGTAGCTGAAAGCAATCTAAATTTAGAAGTTTTTATATTCAGAACAATATTTAAAAAGAAGAAGAGAGATACATCATAAAGGAAAGCAGCAGCAAAGAGGATACAGAGAGAGAGTTAAGAGTCCTGGTGTACGTCTGTTTGTTCATCCAGTTGTATTTAGAGATTGTTTCTGTTGTCTTTGTAAGTCAGTTGTTGTACCATCCGGTAGAACTAAAGCTGATTGTCTAACAGGTTGATATGATGTAGAGCTGAAACAGTCGTTTAATCAAAAAGAAAATTAATAGACAACTAAACAAAGTCATTTTTCAAGCAAAGATTTAATAATCAAGTTCCAGCTTTTCAATTGTGAGGATTTGCTGCTTTTCTTTGTCCCACTGTATGTGATAGTAAATTTAATATATTTGGGTTTTGGGCTGTTGGTCGAAAAGACTAAAGTAATTTGAAGATGTTATCTTGGGTTTTAAGAAATTGGGCATTTATCACAATTTGTAGACATTTTATCGACCTCAAAATGAATTAATTAAATTAATCAAAAAGATAATCTGCAGGTCGCGGCCCTAATATGAAAGTTATTTCACCAAATACAAAGGCCAGTGCAGAGACCCAGATAGGCTCAGTTCTCATTAGCGGTACCCTAAATTTGTTTGTCTCACTCACAAACACAGTAATGTTTGTGGGTGAGACACCTGTGAGGGATCATGTTCGGACGATGCTGTGATCTGTGGGCTAAACATGAATTCCAGGCAGTATTATGCCCTACAGCTGAAACTCAGCTCTGTCAGGTTTAAGATGCAGGTGACATGGGTAAAATATAAAATGGTAAAGAGTAAAATGCAAAACAACGGTGTATTGTTTTCCTTCTCTTGAACGAACACTACTTATTTTGTCTCTTTAAAGGAGCTACTAAAATCTTACCTGGATTTTAATGTTTACATAAATTATTGCCACCTCTTCTATGTTATGTGATGTTGTTTTGTTGCATATTATTATTATTTTTGAGGTATTTGCTCTAATTCCACATATTCTTTCTTTCCTGTGCAGTGAAGAGCAGTGAATGGATGGACAGATATAGGCTGAAGTTCCTGGGCTCAGTTCAAGTGCCCTTCCACAAAGGAAACGATGTTCTGTGTGCAGCTATGCAGAAGGTACAAGGTCCATGTTGAGCGCATCTGTGTGTGTTTAAGTTTGTAAGTTTGACTACTATAGTAAAGCAGCATTAAGGAATATATCAGAAATTAAAAACTTTGGTAGACATGTGCCTTAATGCAAAAAATAACACAGAGGAGCTAAAGTATGTATCCTAAATGTGCACTAGGGCTGGACAATAAAACAAGAATCATAATTATGGCAATATAATTTTTTTCATTAACAATATAACAAATATTCAATAAATGTTTGATTTGATCCATTTGAATCACAAACAAATTAGCACTTATTTTTTCTATTAAAATATTAATTTTGTTGAGGAAAACGGACTACTTTACTTTATTTTACTCATGCATATTTGTTGAAAAAAGATTTTCATAATTGTTTTGAATGTTGTACCTCAGATGTTAAGTGATCCACTGTTTGGAAAGCGTTTGACATGTTCTGACCATAAAGAATAGTTTAAAACCACAATTAACCATCTAGTTCCTTTAACTTTCACTGAGGAACAAAAATCAATTTTTAAACTTGAAAAAAATATTAAATTGGCACTTATCCTGATTTGAAATTTTTTTATTGTGATAACATTTTTGGCAATATCACCCGGCCCTATGATTAACCATTTCTAACTGTCTTTAGAGTAAAAATTGGGTTTACACTGGAAAAAATGGAAAATGACTTAATTCTTAATGCTTAAAAATGCAGAAAACTTCACTGCAGTGGGGGTCATTGTCCCACAGTGCAACACACAACAAGCTACCTGCAGCTGGCAACATCTCAAATGAGGAATTAATTTAATATCTCATAGGAGAAAGAAGAAGTATCACAGTAAAATTAGTTTGACTGTTTCCAATACAGAGAGAAACTTATCTATTACATAAGTTATATAACTTATTACATCTATTATGTATAACATTTGTATTTTCATCTAGTTAGAAATTTTGGTTACAATTTTTGTCTCTTTTGAGTTTTTACAAATTTTAGGAGTCATCTTTTATATTTGTTTTCCAGATTGCCTCCAACAGAAGGATGACAGTAAAGTACAACCCGCCTTCCTCCTGCTACCTGGAGATCAGTGTGAAAGGCATCAAGCTTGCAGTTCAGGAAGATTATTATGCCTGTGACAGAGTAAGACTCCTTCTGTCACTTTGTTTTTCTAATGTAAAAAGAATTAAGTGCAGCTTCTTAAGGGTTTGTCCAATAAAAGCTCACCCTCACACCAGAAACCCATTGAACAGCGGAGGCATGTCTCCCCCATGTGGCTGCCAGTAGAACTGCAGGCAGAGATGTCAGGGGACACAAGGGAAGTGTTTTCTTAAAGGAGATCTTACTTCACTATTTCCATTATGAGCACCTATAAACTTACACCCCCTCGACATTTAAGAGAAAGTAATTGTATTATTTACTTTAGTACTTTTCAGAAGAAAGTTTCACATTCTAAACATACTTTTAAATATAATGTATGCACATACAAGCCCCTACTCCACATACAACATACAAAATATATTGTTTGAGTGAAGCAACATGTGTCAGGAAAGAAAAAATCCTATCCCAAACAAAGAATCCCAAACTCTACAAATGACATCTGACACAGCAAATGCTCCCATCCTAAAAAACAACTGTTTTATAATGATCCATCCAGAGATGAAAGACATTTAAAGTCTTAAACCCTTAAATAGTTAACACTGACTTCATAGTTATTTAGTAGTTTGATATACCTAGACAATCTACAACTATTATACAGTTTAATAGCATAATAACAATATGATCATGCATTACACTCAGATAGGGGCCATTTTGCTGTACATAAAGAGTACTTTTACTTGAGATACTTTTGTATATTGTGCTGTCAATAGTTTTGTATTTCTAGCCAAGGAGCATTGTGAATGCAGGAATGTCACTTTTTAATTAAGTTTATTTTGTATTACTTAGATAAGAACAAAACTGCCACCCTTAGTAAGTGTAGAGCAAGGAATCCAAGACATTTATTCTGCATTTTTGTCTTGTTCGCAGAGTAATGAGTGCAATCACTTCTTCCAGTTAAAGAATGTTTCCTTCTGCGGCTATCACCCCAAAAACAGCAAGTAAGTTAACACAGAAAACCTAAAACAGGACTTTCAATGAGGGACTACAGAACCAAGCACATGTTTGTACTGTCTGGCTAGAATCAAAGAAAGGCTGAGACATTTTCACCCACAGAAACCAAACAATAACTTACCACAAGATGTCGCTAGAAATCTAAAATAAATATACTAGACTTCAGACATAGACTGGACCGCTTGACTGCTAACTGATTATATGTGAAACTATCAAATGTGAAACAGCAGTTTATTATTAGGACATGACAGAAATAACTAAGTATATAAAAAACTTTGGAGTGTTTTATCTACTTTCCTCTCTACAGGTATTTTGGTTTCATAACTAAGCACCCAGCAGACCAGAGATTTGCCTGCCATGTGTTTGTGTCTGAAAACTCCACCAAACCTCTTGCAGAGTCAGTAGGGTAAGTTTGACTTTTTTTCAATTAGTAATGCACAGAGGAGGTTTGTGCATTTACTTCATCTCTGTTGACACATACAGTTGTTAATTGATTAGAAACAGCTAATATGTTATAGATCATTGATTTGTTTTTGGAAATCAGTCCAGTGTTAATTGTAAAATCCAACACTTGGTTAATTTCTAACCCCTGTTTCCTATGGTTTTGTCTGTCCGATATAAGGCTTGTTTGTCCTCTATGCTACTATGCTCAATGCTGCTTATTTCATTATCATTTATTGGGAATAGTAATTCATTTCTATGCCAAGACAGTTATGATATTTTGTTTGTTAGATATCTCAATATCCTGTTGACTAGCAGCTCATTTATGGTGGGGATTCCACAATTTTCTCATGAACTACCTGGATGAACTTTGGCAGATGTTTTTAAATTCATGTATCTCATTTATTCATTAATTTTGAACATTTTCCCGTGGGATTGTGCAGTCTTGCCAGAGGTACTAAAAGTATTCAAAATACTGGGTATTATATTTCATTAGATCCTACAAAATAAACAGGGTCTCAGGGCCAATCCGCCAGTCCTTATTTAGTCCTATATTGCATTTTACAAATCATCAGAAATACCTGCAGAATCATTTCAAGGCAAAGGCGTTTTTTAATGTCAAAGCCAACTTTATTCTCAATTTCCGCCACATGTACAGGACACAGACACGACTGAAATGCCGTTTCTCACAGTCCTCCAGTGTAAAAACAGTAAACACACTAACAATAAGAGTATTCTGTGGATAGTTGCAACATGTAGGCACATTGTAATTACTGCATCAGTTAGTGCATCAGTTTCAGTCTATTTGTGATCTGCATCATGATTATCATAACTCTTATTGCCACTGTCCAGTATAGCAGTAGAACTTAAACTCCTTGAACATAAACAGAAATCACTAGGATCATGTTTCAAATTTCAGAGAAGTAGAGATAGAACCATGTAGAACAAAATAAACTGAGAATTGTCCGCTAGTGGGGCAAAAGCTAATCTTAAAATTTGGCTCTCAGTTGAGTGCTATAAAAACATCAAGGTGTGAACTGTTAAATGAGGTCTAGAAATAACTGAAGTATGTGTCTTTGTCTTTCAGAAAAGCCTTCCAGTTGTACTATAAAGAGTTTGTGGAGGTATCATGCCCTACAGAGGACATCTACCTGGAATAACCCTGCCCTGCCTTCAACCACAGCCCTGTACAGTACACTGTATCTTAACATAATGTTGCATGAAGGACAGACATATATATAATTTAAAAAAAAACAAACAAAAAAAACAAACAAGCAGGAGAAGAAGGGTCAAGTATTGGAACTGTGGTGAAACCTGAGGAGAAGAGATGAAAATGAGCCAACGCAGGAGAACAGAAAATATGCAAAATGGAGTCGGTGATGAGGTGGTGATCACAGGCTGACCATAGAAAGCACAAACATTGTATCACGGCAGCCTTGGCAGCACTAGTTAGCTTGCAGCGTCGTCTCAGCAGGTGCAACACTGAAAGCCCTGAAGCCAAACTGAACTGCACCAGCTTGTTCTTGCACTTGACAAAAGAAAAATAGCGGCTGAGATTTGAAACAAATTACCACATGAGTTTTTGTTTGACTCTAAAATTAGGGTCTGCGCATAACGGAGGTGTGTATTTACTAAATGACATGATGGCACAGAAAATTTTATCATTTTAGCCCACCATGAAGGAGACATCCACATTGTTCAGTGACAACAAAAACACCCTAAACACTGTAGTAAAACCATCTACAGGTGATGTTATTTGCATTTTTGGGTCCCATTTAAATGTTTGGCATTAGGGGGCAAACCTTGTCGTCAAATCCAGACAATTACATCAACCTTTTGACAGCAGAAAATGTTGTAGAAAAATGTGTACACGGCATGGTGAGGCTCACATTATAGTGCACAGGCACAAGTGAGTAGCGTAGGCATGTGTTGCCTTTCACCAATGTGCACCAAGTATCAGGAAGAGGCCAGGTAAAAGAAGCCTAGCAAAATTTGTTTGACACAAAAACGGGTAAGGGCCTGAATAGAGCTTAAAAGATAGCAATTATTTTAGTTATCCATCCATCCATCCATCGTCAACCGCTTATCCTGCATACAGGGTCGCGGGGGGGCTGGAGCCAATCCCAGCTGACATCGGGCGCAAGGCGGGGTATACCCTAGACAGGTCGCCAGTCCATCGCAGGGCCACACATAGACGAACAATTATTTTAGTTATTTTAATTTTAATTAGTTTAGTTAGTTATTAGAGTTAATTTTAAAGAAAATATGACAAAAATTTTGAATATTAGTTCATATGTCAACTCGTGATTGGCATTTCTTTGCATTTTGTGACTTTTTATGGAAAAAATAATTATTTGTTAATAAAAATATAAATTAGCTGCAGCCTTAGACCCAGTGATTAACAAATGTTCCTTTTGTGCTTTCAAACAAGGTCAAAGTTGAAACTGGAAAGGAGTAACATATAAGTGGTGCACAATGCCCAAGTTAGCACATCAAATATCTAACGCAAATGCAAAGTTATTCTGCTGCCAGTCATGTGTAGAGGTCCTTTGAGTCGTAGGGCCAATCCTTTCTACTAATGTCCTACGGTCAGACAGTGTTAAGAGGAAATATAGACACCGATTTCTACATCCAAAAGAGCCAGCAGTAGTCTAGAATGTAATGCTACAGTTTCCCTGCTAACGGATCTGTTGGTTTTCTGTAGGTTGAATGACATTTTGGGAAATTTAGATAATCACTCATTTATGTAGAAGTAGACATGACGGGGTAGACTAAAGTTTTTTTTGGTTTATTGGGTTTGGTTTTTGTGATTTATATATAAAATATGTTTTGCTGCTGCCCCTGTCCACAGCAGTACATTGCTTTTCTTCAGTGCTGTTACCACTGTATGGAAGTACTTCATACAACCCCATTTAAAAAAATCCAAACTATCGCTTAAACAATGAATCCCCAATAACGCCTGAAATGCCCTTAGCATCCCTTGTCCATGATAAAAAAAAACAGTGTGAGGGTGTATGACTGTGGATTTTTCCATTTCAAACCTTTTAGCGGCTTCTATTGGTACTGTAGTGCTAAGCTAAAAAGGCCCAACCTTTTGCCCACTAAAGCCTTAGTCCTTTATACCTAGTCTAATGCCAGACAACATTCCGCTTCTTTACTGTGTGTTCTAACTAGGTATGATATCAGTGACAGAAAACGTAAAGATAATTTAAAAAACAGGCATGGGTTCTTTTGTGGTATGAGACAACGTCACGGCTCTTTTATGTGGTGTTTTAGAAACCTGTTCCTCATAGTTTCCGCATCAGAAATATTCACTGCCATCAGTGTGGTGGCGATAAGATAACAAGGCTGATCCTCAGTACAGTTGGTACAGGTGCTGATAAGGGAGTAAAAACAAAACTCTGGTGTCTTCATATCTTTACTAGTAGTGCCTCTTTTTCCATCAGATCATATGACCTTCCTCAGTAAACTGTATCACGACATTTTAAGGGATTGCCATTGAGTGTGTTTTGAATTTAAGAGTTTGAATGCAAATTGTGATGTAGGAGTATGTTTGATGTGACTTGCGCTTTTTTCCACTTCACTAAATGTGCTGTGCTGTACGTGTGTTGTCATAGGTAATGTTTGTTTCAGAGGCAGGGTCACAGTGAAATTGTCCTCATGCAGAGCCTTTATGTCTGCAATCTGAGAGTAAGAAGTTAAATAGACAAGACCGAAAGATTCAACCAAAACCAAGAAAATTCTCTAATCAAACAGGACGCACGTATTTAGGAAGTAAAAATGCTCATGTGCCATGGACCCATTAGATGGATGCATTCAGATTCAGATCCAGTCTGTTAATGCATCCGTGAGACAACTTGTTTTATGATTTTGCAGTCTTCATAGCAAGCTCTAGAAAACCATGTGTGCGCCTGCTCTGAAGTATGTTTGAGGTGTGTAAATTCTCACTGGACATTCTAAAAAATCTTAAATGCCATTAAAAGCTATGATGACGTTTTAGTGGTCAGCATTGATATACCTATAGGACTTTTTGAATTACAGTTTGCTGGTGAATACTTGTGACTTGACTACTGGCTTGAGCACAGCTGAAACAATTAGTCGATTAATAGATTAGTCCAGGGGTTTTCAAAGTGTGAGTTGGGCCTCCCTAGGAGGGCTTCAAGCTGTTTCAAGGGAGGCTCAGTGAATGGAAGTGAAACAATATTACATTACTTAATGCATTAGTTATCAAAAGGAGATCACATAGAATAGCCTACATGAGTGAGAGATACAGTAGTTTTCGGGAACTGTTTTCCTCCCATCAGAGTCAGAAACTAATAAATAACTTTTTTAAAAACTATTTGGTGTAGTCAGAAGTTATGTCAAACAGCAATATTAGGCTATTTTGGTAAAATTACCAAGTAAACTAAAGATGTGGTGGGGGGGGCGCCGTTTCCCAAGCTTTGTCTGAGGGTAGACCCACAGTCTCAGACTTTGAAAACCCCTGGATTAGTCTATTAAAAGAAGGATAATTTTCACTCTTTTGATAAATGATCATTTATTTAAAGGTTTAATGTTTATGTTTTCAAATAAAAATGGCAAACATTCCCCAGTTCCAGTTTCTCAGTCTTATGCTAAAGTTAGTAGTGAATATTTTCAGGTTTCAGGGTTTTGTCAGTAAAACAAAACAAGCCATTTTATAACGTCACCGCAGCAAAGACATTGTAAGAGTATTTTTCACTATTTTCTGACATTCTATGGACCAAATTATTAATCGAGACAATAATTGGCAGATTTACCCCAAAAGATTTAAAATGTGAACTAAGCTTGTTAGCCTGAAACCTTTCTAGAGAAGACTAGATGAGTCCTTAAGAGAATAGCTTTACAGATCAACTTCACTTCCTCTCAAGAATTTACATGCATAGCACGACATCACAGCATGATTCTGGGTCCAACATGGGTACAGCACAGTTGTTCTGTAGTGAATACAAACAGAGAGTGAGCTTCCTATGGCTTCATCTATGGCTAACACTAATGTGTAACAGATTATTTTATGTGATCTATATACAGAAGATAAAATGTCTGTAAAAGAAAGATGTGGAAATTGTTAATTCAGCCTTCTCACTAGTCCCCATGATTTTGTTCCTTTCAAAAAAAACGAGTTGTCTGCTGTTGCTGATCAAAGCCATCGTGTTCGCATCAAGAGATCAACACTGACTTTTATATGATTTCCCTTCTCAAGAGCCAATGAGGCAGACAGGAGAAAATGTAAAGTATTGGGGCTATACAAAGGGTGTATAGACATGCCATATATAAATAAATAATTTAATATCTGTATTATAAATATAACTTTATCTTGATTCAAAATGTAGAATGTGAAATTTATCTTTTTTTTAATGTGTGAATTATTCCTTATTTAAACATTTTAATGCAGATCTCATTGTCTCCTGTCATTATTATAGCATAAAAATATACACACACACATACACACACACACACACACACACACACACCACCAGGGCCCTATTTCAGAAAGCAGGTTTAACATTCTGAACCTTACCCTGAATTCTGTGTTGATTAACCCTTAGATTGGACACTCATCGACTGTGTTTGAAACGGGCTAAACTGCTGTCTCAGAAGGTGTCTAACAGGACAGCGAGGCATTGCGGACTGTTGAAAACGGCTCGAACGATCTCTTCCTGTCTTCTGAGATGCCTTCAAGCTGCCCCAGTAATGGCCAGTTTTGAAGGCAGCATCGATGGTGACTTGATGCTGACTATTACCCATAAAGCAGTTTTAAAAAAAGTTTTTAGTAGTTTTCTCACTTCGAACTATAATATTAGCCCGTGACTGTAACCAACCAAGTTTGTTCAGTATGATTTCTGAGGCATCTGTTAGCCGTTTGGCTTTTCAATTGCTAGTTAGCTTATGTTAAGGCTAGCGTATCTTCTGACAGTAAGAAGAGACGCAAGACGGCGTACCGAAGGCACATGTTGCCATAAGTGCTGCCTTAGAAGGCTGTTCCAAACTAATGTAAACAGAGCTGCCTTCAGTTAAAAGTGATGCCTTCTGAGGCAGCTGTCTATTACGGTATCGAGGCAGTGAGGCAACTGCATTCCATTTCGAACAAAGCCATAGTTTTCGGTTCCAGAACCGCTGATAAGAATTAGTTCAATCATCTGCTGCTGGAAGGGCATTCACAGTGAACATTAAAGCTATCATTAATGGAGCACATAACAGGATTTACTATGGCAGAAAGTGCAAAAAAGACAGCATAATCTCTCAAGCAAAATTAGAAAAATTAAAGAGGTGGTATTATGCTCATTTTCAGGTTCAAAAACGTAATAAGGGGTTGTACCAGAACAGGTTTACGTGGTTTAATTTTCAAAAAACACCATATTTTTCTCATACTGCACATTGCTGCAGCTCCTCTTTTCACCCCGTGTGTTGTACGCTCCGCTCTTGAGCTACAGAGTGATGCATCTTACTTAAATCTTTGTTGGGAGTTGCACATGCGCAATTCCCGGGTAAGGACTACTAG